GTTGATTCCGCTATCTCTATTGATGTTGTTGGGATGAAGTCTTATATGGATAGCCTCTTTGACCTTATGTGTGAATCAGGGAGGTCACGATCAATAAACTTAACCCTGCTCCAAATAGGAATATGCCCCGTTTCGTTAGCGTGCTTTTCAATGCGAGAAAGGGTAAAAGAACACGACAGAGACATACGGTTTGCTCCAAAAAGGAATATGCCCCGTTTCGTTAGCGTGCTCCGAAACTGCAGAGGTCTGGGTACATGTCACTTTAAAGCACGAACTGTTTTGATGGGGTCTGCCTACGTACCCAAAACATCCTCTCAGCTCATACAGGACTCTTCTCTAATAAAAGTAAGAGAGACAGGAGTCTAAGATATCGAGCCTTTTCTGTGTTCGTAGCATAAAGTATTGCTAGTTGAAACATTGGTTTGAAAATTTAAAGCTTAGGGAATGACTGAAATGTTTGTAACGAACGTGATTCTATCTGGACGCCGGACCAACGCCTCAACACCCGCTGCAGGGGGTATGTAACCTTGTCCTTTTTATTTTCCTTTGTTCCTCCACTCAGTTCCGATTGACAAGAAACAAACAAAATCTGGAGTGCTTCAAAAACGATGGGGGCTACCAAGAGTAGAATGGTATTTAAAAGAAAGCATGCATCGATCAGGAAGAGTGTTCAAATTGAACAAGAGGCTGCTGCTCCAAAAATTGTTCTCTTTACAGGACACTCACATAGAATGAATCTAGCGATTGCTCTGCCGTTGGCTGAAGATCCGCTTTCGAGTTTCAAAGTTTTGGTCACAATACCATCTCTCTCAAGTAGTGAATATTTAGAAGATCCACGGGTATTGAATGTGCTCAATAAGACGCTGTTTGTCCTCCCAATGGATTTCGAGTCGGAGGAGTCGATCAAAGGAGTCCTTCGAGAGATCATGGATAATGATGGATTTATTGATGCTGTCGGTGAGTGTATATGGTGTTTACTGGTGGTAAATCGCGCATACTTTTCTTATTTTGACTATACTACAATCTGCATAGTTAGAAGAACGTGCGAATCTTTGTTATCATTCTTTCACGTTATTCCGCTGTCAATGGTTTGCGAGTCGTTACACATTTTTCTGTGTGCAATGAGAAGACCTTACGTGACAATTTGATACAGCTGTGCGTGTATTCGAGCTGCAGCAAACTCACCAGTTCTGTCGACAGAGTGTTTTTCTTTTGGTAAATATATTTCCCACCTACTTGAAAAGCTTTTGCGGGTTTTCGGTGTAACTTAAAAAAAATGTGGCATTCTCACATTTCCGGTTGTAAAATTGTCTCCAGAGATCACGCGTTTCATTATTGAGAAGTCTGTTATCAATTTGTGGAATCCTCGGGCAGTCACTTCTTTGACTCTTTCTAAAACATCGGACGAAAGTGGTGTCCTAGAACTGTGTGTCAAATTCAATCGCTTTTCCCATGAGAAAGTATTGTATAAAACTTAGTAACTAATCAGTGCTGTTTATCGGCTGAGTCACCTAGTCATGAGGTCGTGGATTAACATGTTGGAATTATCTCGCGAGAAGTTAAACACATTTCATGAGTCAAGAGATGGGTCCGTTCTTTTAATTGTGACGATTATTAAAGCCCGATTTTCAATGCTCTAGGTTGGTTTTCTAAGGCTGTAATTGGATTATTGCGATGAAATGATCTTTCAGTTATTTCCAGATAGACTCTGTGTCGAGAGACACTATGACCTTGTTGTCTTGGATCGTGTCGCTGCTTATGGTGGATACGAAGTGAACTAAGTTAGTCCGAGTTGCCATATAAGATGTAAGCAGAATACTATAGTCACCATAGGGTGGATCTTCAGCGGCTATTTGTGTCGAGACCTGTCCTTGTTCTAAACAGTTTCTGAAAGGTTAGTCGATTCTCGGACAACTTCCGAGTCAGACGATCTTTCGAATCTGTTTAGGAGTTGTTTCTGTCCTTTCTCGATGAGGGATGGCTTCGAGGCCTATTATTATTATGATTTACTATTACTTCTATTATTACTAATAGACCTAGTAAGTCTGTGTTGTCACCCCCTCAGTCAGGTGGGAGAGCCATGATAGGCTTCTTTTCTATTAAATGTTTGCGTGCGTCTCAGTGGATTTCCTTCGTGATTTTAGGATGTTTTGATTTATTTGAAACTATGCGCCCTGTTGGACAAAGCCAAGCAAACCAAGTACATTGTATTCAAAATTTCCCCCAACTGACGACGGTTGCTTATCAAGTAAATTATGCTTCATCTATCCCTGGAAGAAAATTCTTGTCCGATGAAGACACTAGAATCTAAATTCCGTTGATAAAGATGTAATAAATGCATCAAATCAAGTACAACATTTGGCTGTGAACAAAGCCTGCGAAAAGTCATAAATTCCTAAGGAAAACAAGCAATAAATTTGCTACTAAAAAGTTTCAAAAGCTGAACGCAACTCCCATAACGAGCTGAGTCCACTAACGTGTCCCCGTTGTCCACGTCAAGCGGGTCTCGAAACACGTTTGGCGCGCGTTACGCGTTCATGAACAAAGGAAACATGCATTGGGAAGGGATATCAATCAGTCAAGTAATGAATCAATTTAATTTGTTTCAGGGGGTGGCTTTGCGCTTTCCGTTGCCCTGGTATGGTAAAAAGGCGTAGTAGTGGAATAATAAAGTGATATTATTTAATAATACTGCAGTGAGTAAAAGATGTAAATACATGAATGATATCTATCAGTTGATGGGCGTACATGTTACTATGATTAAATTGAGATTAAGGTTAGCTAAGAAGGTTTGCCGAAACTCACTGTCAATTAGTCCAATTTTTTAAAACTTTTGGATGCTTTGTTTTCTTCAGCACTTTCCCTAAGTTCCTTTAGTCGTTAATGGATCTAATCGTAAAAGTTGAGTCATCATATTTGGGAATCTTAGATTTAGTTTTCTGAAACGTGGACGTTACAAATAAGTTGAAGCAAAGATTTCAGGTATTTAGAAGAGAAAATTGTAGTTCCAAATACATTCACGAAACTTGATACAACTCAACACCCTGAGAGCCGAGTTGGGTCGGTTTTCGAGATCTCGCCTCACCACTTTTTTCTTTGGTTAGCGAGATCTTGGAAAACCTGGGTAGAAAATTTCCCAAGAGAACGGTCAAATCCATTGTTCTCTTTTTGTCTTTCTTTTTCTCCAGCGCGGTAATCAAGCTATTGAATTTCGCAAATGAATCGGGCCAATATTCAGGCTAAGTATTAACTCGGAAACAGGATGATATATCCCAAATGATTAGAGGCAAACAGGCCCGAAAACAGTAAATTAACAATCAATTTAAAGTTTTGTTTTGGTTATGGATGGTGAGAAACAGTGCTATATCGATCGACAGGCTTTCTTTGATAGCAAACTGAAAATTGTATCCGGCTTTACTTTCAGTCATTACGTCAAACGTCCTTCTAAGCGGTCAAATAGAGACACATACTACTGACCAGGCCAAGACAATATTTGATGTGAATACGTTTTTTGTGATCAGCATTATAAAGGCCGTTCTTCCGATGATGAAAAAGCAGCGAGATGGTCGACTCATCATTGTAAGCAATCAAGCAGGAGTGCTTGGTATCCCTTTTCACGGTCTCTACTGTGCCTCGAAATTTGCCCTTGAAGGGTTCATGGAAAGTATTGCTCCAGAATGTCTTGCATTCAACATCCGGTAAGTTTATAGAAGCTCTTTGATTAGTAAGTTCATGGCTTAACCGCAAATGCCATGAATGGAGCAGAGCAGTGTTGAAAAGAGTAGAAATAAAATCATAAATCTTAATATGTTGAGAGGCTGATCTGTACATCTGTCAGGGGAATACCAGGTATTTTAAAGTCACAGAAATAAGGTTATAGAAACTCACCGAAGAGTATCACGAAGTTGGTATGTGTTTTGGCACAACGCTGTAAGTTGTTTTTCTACGAATGGAACTCGATTCGCTGCGAATGAAAAAGTTGTTTTACTGCAAACTTACGTGATTCGAACTTGAACTTATTTAAAACAAACTTTTGTTCTTTCCTGTCACGCGCCTAAACATCTGGTTGTGTCTGAAACTCATGCAATCTGTAAAGGTTGCATTCAAACGAAACGTACCAAGCGTTGTGCATTCGGCGTACCCTGCCAACACCACAATGTTATTCAGCCTGCTGTCTTAAATGTGTTTGACACTAATTTAAGTTAATGCTAACCTCCTATATAAGTTTTTTGTAGTTACACTTAAGCATTGAAATTAGAAATGAAATTACAGTGCAAGCTGGAAAGTTAGGTGAACTAGTTGGTTTCTTTGTTAGCTTTCCGCACAGTTTGAGATCTAAAATACAACGAGAAAAAAACATGAGAAAGAGAAAGAATACCAGTAACTACAACGTCATGTAATATGATGCCGTGTTAAACGTTGAGAGGAAT